TTAAACAAAAGCAAAAGAACAGACGGCAGCTTTTTAATGTTATATCAATCTGTGCTCGCGTTGCACTCATAGCTGTATATTAGCATACACAACAAAGCCTCACATGTGAACTAACAGCTTGCATCTTTAGACCAGAGGCTGGGAAGATTAATATGGTCTGTAACTCATTTGATAGACAAACTTTAAAAACCATATGGAAAACTCTGTGATAAATTTAATCTTAACTGCTCTCTTCGATATTTAAAGTTAAAGGTAATTCAATGATTCAACAGGTTTTGGGGGAGATCTTAAACTCGGCACATACATTTATCAGAAAGATTTTATCAGCAGAATATTTTCCTAATTAGCTGGGGAAAAAATGTTTTACAAGAATACAAAGAGGCAAGGAAAGTAAGACAATTAGAATTTAAAATCTCTTTATTTATCCATCCAATGAATTCTACCTGTGGATTCTGTGAAAGACAGATGGTGAAACTGTAAAACATATTTGCTTATAGTGTAAATTAGTGCCTGTTCAAGCTGGTATTCATGAAACTCAATTTGATTTTGTTGTGTAAATATCTCATTCACAGATGTGAACAATTAAAGGTTAGGCCCCAAATGAACAAGAATTTGCTCGATCTACTTGCAAAACACCACCCAGCATACTGATTTTATGGCCATGTCAGGCTTTAATAATAGTGAAACGTGACTAAAGCTAGCTCTCACTCTGTGGGAAATCCCTTTTTGAATACGGGTGTTCTCCATTTGGTAAAAACACAAGTTTCGTTCATACAGCAGTTGACAGTTGGCAGTTTCGGAGTCGAACACCGTCACAATCAACTTCAGCTTATTTGCCTCTTGCTCCAGCCTCGCTACTGTAGGCATCCTGCACCTTTCATATACTATAACCTGGAGGTAGCGATGTAACGCTCGGTCACCAAACCGTCTCTAACACAGTGTTTACAAAACAAGCCTAGACTGTGGCGTTGCATCATGGCGTCTCGCACTGCAGCGTTCAAACCATGCTTAAGTTTTGACACAGTCCTAGTGAAAGCATGCTTTACATTACATTGATTGTGTGTGTGTGTGTGTGTGTGTGTGTGTGTGTGTGTGTGTGTGTGTGTGTGTGTGTGTGTGTGTGTGTGTGTGTGTGTGTGTGTGTGTGTGTGTGTGTGTGTGTGTGTGTGTGTGTGTGTGTGTGTGTGTGTGTGTGTGGCCGAGGGAGAGATTATGTAAGAAAAGTTTTGGAAAGCGTCTGTGTCTGACCAGTCAGCAGCCAAAAGCTCTGTTGTGACGCAGTACACAGTATTAGACTAATAGACTTAGTACTCTAGAGACTGACTGGACATAATGATTTAGAAAGAGAGACGCACAGAGAGAGGAAGAAGCAGACTTACGGGGGTCAGAGAAAGGTCAGATAGAGTAGCAAGATGATGTCCTGTCATGAACAGGGAGAGGGTGAAGGATGTGTTTACAAGAGGAGTTAGAATTAACAGGCGGTTACAGCGGGGCTGAACCAGAGACCGAAATAACAGAGAGAGAGAGAGAGAGAGAGAGAGAGAGAGAGAGAGAGAGAGAGAGAGAGAGAGAGAGAGAGAGAGAGAATCTAATAGACTTCCCAACGGGGGATGTGGTGGGTATTGTGAAGGGAAGAGGCAGAGGAGGAGATGGAGAGGCTGACAAAGACAAGAGAGAAAGAGATGATCTGTTAGACTTAAAGATAGACTGTTTTTAGCCAAAGACAGTGACAGCAGAGGAGAGATGACAGTGATGAAAATTATATATAATAATGTTGGCTTTTTTAATCCTGTGAATTTGGAGACCATAAAGTACAAAATGAGATCATAATGTTCCAGGGAATAGAGTTTTATTATTTGACTCGTTTGTATTTATTTATCATCTTCTGTTTTTGTGCAGCAGAATCTCACGTTTTAAATCAGGCTTATTGTCATGTTTAGAAACAAGTAAATATGATTTTGGTCATTTGTTTTTACACATTTTCCCATCGAGTGTGTTAGCGTGCACGTACACAGAGGTGAGGACGGACTGGAGCATCTTGAACAGCACCGCTCAGAGGAAGTCTGTCACATTTCCTGTTTCCTTCTGTTTGCCTTCACTTATTATAGACAAGCTGTTCGAGTGTGTGAGCGAATCACCGACTGTTGAATTTATCCGTTTATTCGAGGCAGAGGAAGTGCTTCCTAATACTCCTCCTGTGATAGTGAGAGACGGTTCTCCTTGTTGACAACGTGGGGGTTATTCTGCTGTTAAATTATGCATCGTGTAAACACACAGGAAAAAAAAAAGCTCATAAGTGCAAACATATTATAAGTATGCAGGAAGATGAATGCATACACGCACACACCGGCTGAGAAACGAGTGCACGCATGGATTCAAATGCCTTCATGCTTACAAGTGTTTGTGTGCTTCCACAAACACACTTTCCCCTCAGTATCTAGGTCATTGACTCAGTGAGACTATTTAAAGTTGTGATGTGTTTACGCGTGTGAGTGTTTCAAGCTTTTACTTATCATCATCTTATTACGAGTACATCACACAGTGCCAGGGCACATATGCAGTGAAATGAAGTGAAGAACAAACACAGCCATGTGGCTTGGCCCGTCCATGCATGAGGAACTGATTTTATTTTGTTAATTAATCAGAGATGTAATAAACTCCAATACACAGTTACTTGATGCATGTAATTAGACCAGTTAGCAAGTGAATATGCAGTGGTTCAGGAGCTTAGTCAAAGTTTTTTTTATTATTATTATTTGTGAAATTTTATAGACTAAACAGCTGATTAATTCATCGTAGAAATAATCGGAATACTTAATTGGTAATACATTTTCTGCTTGATCTCAACTAGAGCTAGTGTTTAAAATAAGATTCAGATTAAGATTTAAGTTTGGTAAAAAGCTGATATAAAACTCACAAATATCAATATCAGCCTTAAAAATCCAGTGCTGATCGGGTTTTAATCTGTTGAAAGATTTTATTGTTTGCTGAACATTATGTTGCCTAAAGCTGATTAGGAAGACATATAATTAACTGCGTCACTTAATCCTGTCAGTTATGATGAGTTTTTAAATTTTTATGATCTTTGACCCCCATAATCCAGTTTTTTATGACCAGTCTCTACTAATTATCCTGCCTGTAAAAATAACCAAACTACTGGACCAATAATATTTTCTTATTAGAAGCAACACAATGTCTCAAATCGCTGCAGCACACACACTCACACATACTTGAGCTCTACTGTGGCGTGATCTACAGATCTTGCCTCCGAGCAGCTGTTTTGGGGATTTAGTGCCTTGCTCAAGGACACGTCTGGGAGCTGCGGAGCACCTTCCCCTTCAGTCTTTTTCCAATTCATTGTTTCCATCTTCATTACTTCTCCTTCGCCTCCCTCCTCCCATCCTCTCTAACCTGCCCTCATCTCTCCTCTTCCCTTATTGTCACACTCCCTCTCTTGTGTCTCTTTAACATCTTTTTACCTTTTATTTAATCTTATCTGCTGTGTTGTCCCATTCTCTCTGTCACCCTTTTTTTGTCCTTACTCTCTTTTTTTCCCTTCCATTTTCACCTGCTCACTCTCTTCTCTCCTCACTCCCCCTTTGAGTTATTTCCATCCTCCCCTCCATTTTTCTCTTCTTGTCTCCTCCGTCTCCCCTACTTTTTCTTTCACAGCTTGTCTAACTAAACTTTCTCTCCCTCTTCCACTCACCACTTCCCTCCATCTGTTTCTTTTCCCCTCGTTCTTTCTCTCCTGTGAGTCCTCACTCTCTCTTCCCTCTGGTCTGTCTCTCCTCTCTCTCTTTATCTCTGCCTTGTTGTCAAGTGGTGACTCACTAGAGGCGAGCAGCCAAGGATCTGGCCAACACACACACACACACACACACACACACACACACACACACATCCTGATCAGCCAAGAGTACAGCATGCAGGCCACATGCTGCACGTACTGCACTCACACACACAAAGACACTGTTGAGGGCCAAGGGTATGGGGACGGGTTAGACACACACACAGACGTGCACACACTATGGTCTGTCAGCCAAGTGAAGGGCAGCAAACAGTCTGTTGAGTCACACCGGTGGAGCAGAAACATCAAGTGAAACCGCCAACACGCACACACACACACACACGCACACACACAGTGTCTGTTTTGACACCCAGTAGTCATTAACAGCTTCCATGTCAGTGGAAGAAGAACTAGTTTCGTGTTCCCCTATTTTATTGCGGTCAAACTAAAGCAAAAGCATATATATTTTATAAACAGCCTGTAAGGTTATATATCTTACAACCTGATGAAACCTGATATATTTATTATTAGGACTACTTCTTATTCTGTCACAAAATCCAGGAAGAACCTCTTATCCCTTATTGATTGAAGCGAGGGAAAAAATCAAAACGTGCAGTTGGTGGTCGCAAGCAGGATATAGCTCTGTTTTAAGGGGTCACAACCCAAAACGGTTGGGAACCACTGACCAAAATAATAAGCGTGTTCGATTACACTCAGGATGACCTAGAAGAATTTAGAGCCACAGAAGGGTAATTGAACCAGGATGTGCCACCCCTCTAAGAAAACCAGGGGCATTTAGGCTGCTGAAGGTGCTACGACACAATAATTGAATGCTACAGCTAATATGTTGAAGATTCAAGGTAAATTTTTTAGGTAAGGACTAAAAGCAGATATGAAATTTCACCTGAGCGCCACATATCACAGAGTTTTAACGGTGATGTTATGTTTTCTCCTGTGGTTATTGTTTAAGAAGACAACGTGGGATCAGAGGAACCGGTGTCAGCCTCCTGCTGTGGTGTTAAAGTAACAATGTAACAATATTATCTGATGTTGTGTTTTCTCCTGTGGTTGCTGCAGGTGAAGAAAACGTACAGTAATGGTACATACAGAGCCGGGGCAATGAGACAGATCAGCCTGGTGGGAGCCGTGGACGAGGAGGTCGGGGATTATTTCCCGGAGTTCCTCGGCATGCTGGAGGAGTCACCCTTCCTGAAGGTGAGTCAGGACGGGATGAACAGCAGTAATCAGAAACAGTGGGTGGATGGAAAGTGACAGCGGCATTCAAATAGGCTCGGATCAGATTTGTATATTGTATGGAAGAACAAGATAATCTACAATGGGAATAAATAAGGAAACTACAATTTATAACATGTTACTGTGCTGTGAGGTCAAAGGAAATTTACCTTAAAGCTTAACTTTGCAACAGCAGAATCTTAAGGAAATTGTCAAGCAGTGATGTTGTTGCACTTAGACTTAATAAGTAATAGACTATTTTTGTTACTGTCAGCAAGTCCTGTGAAAAGACCAAAATTGACATTTTGACTTCCTGTCTGTGGCCCTCAGCCTCAAGCTTATTTGTTTCTACTTGACGGGTACTAGCTTTGATCAAATGTTATTCAAACAGGAGTAAATAGTGCATCGGTTAGGGGGATTTATACCCATCCTGTGGTCTAGTGAGTATCTAAGACAGCAGCATGGTGAATGTGGGATTGACTTAAAATAAATCACAGTAATCATGTTCATGGCAACAGAGAAACAAGTCACCCAGTTCAACGGTGTGGCTTATTGTTGTGTTTTTAATAGGTTTTTGAACAACAATGGAGCTCCATGGTGCTGAGAAATAAGCTATATCAGGCTTTGGATACACAGACAATACTTTTTAGGGTTTGTTGTTGGTTTTAATCTTTTCATGGGATGTGTTTACAATAATGAAAATACAGAATACATTAGACTTAGCCTAAAATTTATAGCCTGGCAAAAATGCCTTTTATTTGTTTCTTAAATCTCCTCAGTACTGTGAGCAGGATGTACCGACCACCTTCTGCTTATTTTTTTTATTCTCTCAACAAATTTAAACGTGCTTTTTCTCTTACTCCAAAACATTTAGTTTCAGTGTGTGCTGATGTTGGATTCAAGGAATCCAGACAAAACTCAGCTGGGCTGGCCCTCTGATTGTTATAGTAACATCACGCTCTGTCGAAGGATTAGGCTAGATGTTATGTGACAGTGTTCAGTTGGCTGGCATTGTGTCACACAACACCTTCTCACTGAAATATAAAGTAGGCTTACTCCAGTCAGAACATTACATGCCTATACCCCATGAATTGTCTGTTTATTCTAAATGTCAGCTACAAACTAGATGTGAGAAATGTGAGTTTGATGCATTTATTCCACTGATTATTTGGAAACGCTACAAACTGAACAGATGCAGGGATACTGGGAGATACACCAACACATACACAACACACCTAATAGTCTCAGTGGTGGCTGGCAAAGAATAGGCGTTAAGTGGTGTGTCAGAGTGATTAGTTGCAGCTTTCCAGCTTCAGTTCAGTTTAAATGTCTGCACGGGAACAGACCACCAAAACACTGTGTTTACTGCTGTCCCTGAAATGTATGAGTGACAAGGAGACAAGTTTTTCTTCTGTTTGCTATTCTGTGTTGACACTTCAAATCTCCTGCATACCAGTGTGGAGGAGTGGCGTCGTACGCTGAATATCAAAAGACGCACATCCTCTGGCACTTCCTAACCGTCGAGGGGCTTTGGCTCTGATTCAGCACCCTCTGAAGCATCTCGAGCGCCAGTGACGAGTTTTACCACAGGGGGCAATTTCTTGCGCATGAGATTTCTTTCTGTGGAATCAGTGGAATAAATAAATTACTTGATAAATAGGTTAACAACTAAAAAAAGTGAGGCATGTGCTAACACACTGCTTTGATCATTTTCCCTCATGTTCTCTCTTCGTCTGTCTGGCTGCAGCGGACTCTTCCGTGGGGAACGTTCTCCAGTCTGAGGTTGATGAATCCCACAGAGAGTGACGACGGTCCTATAATGTGGGTCAGACCAGGAGAACAGATGATACCTGTAGCTGATATACCAAAGTCCCCTTTTAAAAGAAAGCGGTGAGTCCACTAGCAAAAAGGCACACACACACACTCACAAATGAAGCCAGACAATATTTTGGATCCTTCCTAAGCACTGCAATAAGACAGTGACTGAATTAACAGGGATTTTGGTCTCTATGAATGTTATTTGCACTGGCTACAAGTCTCAGTGGTGTGCCTGTGTGTGTGCGCGTGTGCGTGTACCTTATTGAGCCAGCTGTACTCTCAAGCCCACAAGGGCCGATTATGGACAAACAGCACCAAAACACACTCACACATTTGAAGCAGCAGCCGTGGTAGCAGCATGAAGCTTTGTTGTAGCCGAGCACCGCCGGATGAGGCAATTACACCCTCTCTGTTTGTCTCTGTCACAGTGTCATTGTTGCTCACACATAAGCTCTGTCTCTCTCTCACACACACACACACACACACACACACACACACACACACACACACACACACAAACACATAATATCTGTGAGGGAGGCCATGAGAGAGAATGTGTGGGTGTGTGATGTGAGCGGTATGTGGCTCACCACTCAGATGAGATCATCGTTATGTTAATAGAGTCGACATCAGACGCTACTTCACATGGCAGCCGGCCAAGCACGGGACAACACACACAACCGCACACATTCCTTTCACGCAGCAGTTATTTCTCTCTCAAATCTGTTAATTGGTAGTCACATCAATAGTAGGATTTATGATTTTTTTCTTTATTTTTTTTTTATTTTTTAAAGCTGAATCAATTAATTCTTCAACAGAAAAATAATCTGCAACTCTTGTCAGTCAAGCAAAAATACTTCCAGCTTGGTTCCGGCTTTTAAATTAAGAAGATTTACTGCTCTCTCAGTTTTATGTCATTGTTAACTCAATATCTTTTTACTAATCGCATCCCTAGTTTGTTTTTTCTCTCTAAATTCATCCAAGAAAGTTTTAATCAGTCAGACCTTTCTGGGTGAGTAAAAGGGGGAAATAATAGAGAAAGTCATAGTCACTTAATCAGTGTCTACACCTGTAAATACGTACGTTTTGTTGCATAAACATGTTGGCGCAGGGCTTCTGGACCGTGTCTGAAGGGAATAGCGTTCAGGGAAAGTGTGAATGTTTGTGTGCGTGCTGTCAGAACCACTTGTGTAACAGCTGGGGCTGAAAGAATGTTTTTATAGAAACACAGATGGATGGATGGATAAAAAGAGAAGCGTGGTTAAACTATTTCCTCCTTTTCTTTCATTCATGTCCTGTCATTTTCTATCACATGATCATAAATTACTATGAGATGGGAATATCTACAAACCAAGGTGTACTTTTCTCATACTTTTATTCCTTTTGGCTCCCAGATATCTCCTCAATCTCTAATTCCCCTCCTCCTCCTCCTCCTCCAAACTCTTCTTCCCTTTTCTTCCCTCCATTCCTCCCACTTCTGCCTAATTTCTCTGTCCTTGTCCTCCTGCTACCTCTAAATATCTGCCCAGTCTTTCTGTCTCAATTTCTCTTACGATCTGTCTTCTGTTTCCTCCTATTGACCTCTCTTTCCGGCTTTAAGTTGATTTATTGCAGAGTTACTGTGCTGTTATTTGTAGGAATTCTAAGACTGTGTGTAAAGAAAGCACATATATTAAATATGCCAAAGCAGTGCAAGGGATTGTGTTTGTGTCTGCCTGTGTATATAAAGAAAGAGAGAAGGATGTTATTTGCAGTGAGACCTTGTCTGCAGTTGAAGGAAGGAAGGCTGCTTGTGTACGGGGAACATCTCTTCACAGCGTTCAGTTTCTTTTTTCTTGGTGGTTTCAGTGAAAAGGTCAAGCTGTTATGCATTTCTGACAGCACTGAGACTCTCAGTCTGAGAATTCAGCTTGATTATAGTGGTCAGACAATGAAAATAAACCAAAATATTTCAGCTTTTTAGTGAAAGAGCACCGTGCTGCCAGAGATTTACAATAATTGCATAGTAACAGCAGCAGCCCTGGCCAGCAGCAGTCACAAACAGGACAGAGGCCCGACGCAGAACATGCTGTTCCTGTTTGGAAACAAATTGCATGACAGATGACAGCTGAGTCCATCGGGAGCCGCTTGGCTGTCAGCCTGCTCAGTCTCAAGTTGAAATTATTAATAGGCAGCTTTTTTGATAATCGATTAATAACTTGAGGTTTTATTTTTTAGACAAAGCTCAAAACATTTCTTTGATTCCAGCTTCTCCAGTGTAAAGTTCTGCAGCTTTTCTCTACTTTATATAATTGTAAATGTAATATCTTTTGGTTTTGTATTGTTGATTGGATAAAATAAATTCCCCCGCCAGTCAAAAATGTGTTGTTGGATGTTTGACCTGCACTGTGCAGAATAATGTATGTGTAGAGTTTGATATTCATCTATTTCTCTGTGCTTAAATCTGAGTTTAAGATGTGAACACACAAGCATGATTTTGTGATCACACAAATCACAACTATATTGGAAACCAGACAAATAATACAACAAACAGAGGAAATAGTTGTCACATGAATCAGTAATAATCATTAGTTGCAGCCCTTGTTGTAAGTGCATTAATTGTGTGAAACGTAAATGTGATGTAGAACCTCTTCAGGCGTGTGTGCTGCAGCTTTAAGATGTACATTAACAGTGTTTGTCGTCAGAGATCGTGGTTCCCCTCTGCCTCCCTTTCCTCCCTCCTCCTTACACTCCTTTTTATTACTGTCTTATCCCTCTCCTTCCCTCCTCTCTTCTCCAGTTTCCCTCCTTTATCTCCTCTCTCTCTCCTCATCCCTGCTCTCCCACTCACGCCTTCCTCTTGTTCTTCTCTGTTCTTCTCCCTCCCGCTTTGTTCGACCATAAATGCACAGGCACCTGTCCCGACGACTTGGTGCATTACACACTGCGCACTGACATACATTACATACATTTACAACAGGAGCTCACATGTAGAGGACAGATACAAATGGTAGACTTCAAATTTCACTCCAGATGTGCACGTTCAGCACTCCTCCCTTTACACTCTCTTCTTTCAGTGTTTCACTTACCAGCTTTTCCTGGTTTTACATTCATTACTGTCAGCCTGCAGTCAGCTCAGACACACTGAGCTCTGTGTGTGTGTGTGTGTGTGTGTGTGTGTGTGTGTGTGTGTGTGTGTGTGTGTGTGTTGTTTTCATTTCCCCTTACTCTCTGTACTATTTTCCTCTGCTTCTTTCTTCGTTTTCCACCAGCCACTGCCTCTCTTCTCCTATTTCCGAATGAATGAATGCACAATTAAGTGTGCAGCATGCTGTTCTGTGTGTGTGTGTGTCTGCGTGACGCTCTCGAAGGAATCTCTAGCAGACTCTGTGTGCGTTCATACTGTGTGTGTTCATACTCTTGTTTGAATCTGACTGCAGGTCCAGTGTGAGTCACTGATCCAGTAGTGAGCTGACTGCAGTACTTCTATTGTTTGGCAACATGGCTTCATGCACACAGACTGAGAAGCTGAGGAGTAAAGGCATAAAAATGAGCCAAGCGTGCGCGCAATGGTACCTGTTTCCAAGAGGATATTACTGATTTTGATTTATTTTTCTTCTCATTTTCCTGCTACCCGTCTTTTGTGTTTAGAATTTAAATACATACCATATTGTCCATGCAAGGAAAGTAATTTCTGCCACCAGCAAACATGGAATAATTTGCATTTGAAGAAAAAGATATTGGTCGAAAGCTAGAAAAAGCTCTGGTATGATTTTTATATCTGGAGACAATATGAAGGATGAAGTATGGAGTCTGTGTGTGCACATAGCGTGCAGTCTGTGTGTGCACATAGCGTGCTGTAAAACCTCCAGGTAGGGTGGAGGGTTTCACTGAAGACATCACAAAGTGTTTTATAATGTCCAAATTAATGTTTTTATCCTTTATATCACAGCTGCTCAAGAGTTGCGATTAAAATCTTTTTTTATTAATCTAACGATTCTTTTTTAAAATATTGTTTAGTCTATAAAACGTGAGAAAATTGTTTTTAAAATACATGTTTATTTTCCCAGAACCCAAGGCTTCATCTTCAGTTTGTATGTTTTGTCACGGAAACATAAATATAAAGGTGTCATTGTATTGTTCTGGATTGTAAAGCATCTAATTAGTGTTGCTGTAAAGTGAAACTGAAACACTTGAGTCAGTTATTTGGTTGACCAAAAAAAAATGATTGGAACCTATTTTGGTAATCGATTAATCTTTAGTGTATCATTTTCAAGTAAAATCTCTTATTCCTACTTATGAGATGTGAATATTTGTTGATTTTCTTAGTTTTCTATGATAAGTGATTTTCTAATCTTTGGATTTTGGTTTTGTTAATTGGACAAAAAAATACATTTAAGCATGTCAGCTAGGGCTTTGGGAAATTATGATTATTTACTATTTTCTAAAATGTAAAGACTGAACTATTAATAAGCAGTAATAATTAATAAGAATCACCGTTACTAGAAGCTCTACTGGAAATGCTTCCAGTGCGTTTTATTATATCCACACTAATGCAGGTTTTCATCCTCTCTGCTTCTCATGTCACGCTGTGGTGTCAGGATTACATCAATGCCAGCCAAGATAACAATTCCAGCAGATAAAGCCTGTCTGGTGCTTTTATTTTGCCACAGCAGACAGAAAACAAAGCAATAAACAAAGCTGGGAAGGGAGCTGCCCACTCACCTTTAGTCTCTTCTTTATTTAGACAGCAGGGAAGCAGAGACAGGGGAGAAATCTCTTTGTAGAACTGTGTGGACACATCCTGTGTGTGTTTCTACTTTCTCCACTGCTGTTTCTCTGAAGCCGTCTTAATTTCTGTCCTGTCGTAGCTCCACCAATGAGGTGAAGAACCTGCTGCAGTCTCTGCCCAGGACCAGTGAGCCCAGAGAGATGCTGTTTGAAGATCGGACCCGGGCCCACGCTGATCACATCGGCCAGGGCTTTGAACGTCAAACCACAGCAGCCGTGGGGGTGCTGAAGGCTGTACGGTCCGGAGAAAGGTAGGCAGTGAAGCAACACATGATATGATGTGTTTAGAAGTAACACACAATCACCAACAGATACAGTGTAATCCTTCTGACTCTGTCGTCCCCTCCCTCCCTTGCTTTCAGCTCAGAGCCTCCTCGTGTAACCAAAGACGTTGTGTGTTTCCACGCCGGTGATTTCCTTCCTGTAGTTCAGAGGCTGCAGTTGGACCTACACGAGCCTCCGCTGTCTCAGGTTTTACATTACACAGACATAGACACACACACACACACACACACACACACACACACACACACACACACACACACAGGGTATGGCAATATACACAGCTCACACATTAGATTCACCCCAGTGAAGTCATCCTTGTTATGTCCCGAATTAGATGCAGAGCTATTCCTTAGTGTTACTTTAATATAACGCTTACTGTCTAACACTGTGTGAGGTGTAGAGTTGAGATAATCTGATGTTGGATGCTGCTACCTGGTGGATAAAAGTTGAACTGCAGCAAATCAGAGAAATGGTCAGAAAACGTTACATATAGAATTAATTTTTTTTTGTTCAGTTTACTTTATTTCACCTAGATAATCCAATCGGTGTCGGTACCGCTTTCCATGGAGTCCTTGGTACATATTAAAAACACTAATATGTCGATATAATTTTAAAACCTTAAGTCTCAAGAATCATTGAGATTTTTGTCATTTACAATAATGTCAAGAAACCGTTCCCAGACTGTATCAACTGTTTAATTTATACATGAAACATCTGATACATTCTTTCATAAAGGTGTCCAGATTTCAGTTTCCATTTGAAAGCCTGTAAAACATGTAGATCCGTCCAGCTGACTGATAGTGATAGTGGCACCATAATATTACAGTCTGCTACTAAACACAGCACTTTAGCTGCATGGGTGTCCATGAGACGTGAGTCCCATCTCTCCAAAGTAAAGTCTAACAGCGATCTGAATGTTGTCTATTTTAAACACATTCCACTCTCTTTTCTGCCTTAATGCTTTCAGTATTCAGCCCAGATGTTCACTGGTAATAAAGACAATACACACTCCATTTTTTAGCAACTCTGTTATCCTTTTTTTGTAAGCTGTGAAGCTATTCTCTGGGTTAAAGAGACTCTTTTATTGCAAAGAATATAACACGACAAAATAGCCACAGAGCAGATCTGTCTGTTCTGGAAAAGATCAAAAGGAACTTCTGGGACCTTGAGATTACAAAACTTTATCTTTTACAAAAAGGCCTTTTTAGCAATCCTGACTTAACTCTTTCAAATTGTTGTTGTCACTGATTTTTGCCTTGCATTTTGTCATTTTACATAAAGCCAAATGTTTTAAAAAGCTAAGCTTAATTGCTTTTTGGCTTTTTAGACAAGGATTAATGATTTTTATGTATTCCCACTGAAATAAAGTTGGAAAGAAGAATAAAAAAAGAGAAAACTTAACCTAAATTTTTTTCAAAATAGATGTCAATGTCATTTTGGAGTGCACCTCCTGATTTCTTCCACCTCAACCCCCCTCTGTCTCTACAGTGTGTGCAGTGGGTGGATGACGCCAAACTAAACCAGCTGCGTCGCGAGGGCATCCACTACGCTCGCATCCGCCTGTGCCACGATGACATCTACTTCATCCCTCGCAATGTGGTCCACCAGTTCAAGACCGTGTCGTCCGTCTGCAGCCTGGCATGGCACGTGCGCTTAAAACAATACCACCATGGAGAGGGAGAGGAGGATGAGGAGGAGGAGGAGGAGGAGGAGGTGAAGGAAGAGGAGGAGGAGCAGGAGGTGAAGGAAGAGGAGGAGGAGGAGGAGGAGCAGGTTGAGTCGAAGGAGAAGGAAACGGTGGAGGAAAAAGAGGAGGAAGAAGAGGTGAGGAGAGAAAAGAAGCGTGAGAAAGGAGCAAAGGAGAGGATAAAGGAGGAGAACGAGGAAATTGATTTGGGAGAAAACAGGACATTGCCGGTTGTCAAAATGGAGCAACAACCTCTCTCATCTCAGCCTGCTCCCTCAGTGGACTCGAACGTGAGCAGTGCGAGAGACAAAGAGGAGACAATGGAGAGGGTAAAGGAAGGAGGAAAACCCAAACAGCAGCAGGTTTCACCTCCTGCAAAAATGAAAACAGAACTTCCGGCGTCTCCTCTCTGCAAGAATAAACCACCTCCTGCCTCTCATCCTCCTCATCAGGACACAAAACCCAAAGCAGCATCATCAAAGCACCTTCATCATCACCACCATCACCATCATTCGGACAGCAGGACGACGTCTTCCAGTACGAGTTCCTCCTCTTCAGCTCCTAAATCTCCCATCTCTAAGTCTTCCACCTCTTCGTCGCCTTTGGCCGTTACTCCTCTGCGCTCATCTTATGCTGCTCCCAATCCGTCCTCTACCTCTTCTCCATCTGCAGTTCTGTCCACATCTTCCTCTGTCTCAACCTCCACTTCACCTCCCAAACCCGCATTGCTCCCTCCTTCCGCCGTGTCTTCGTCGTCCCAGCTGCCTTCCTCCTCTAAGTCAGACCAACCGAAGGACAGAGCCTCGCCTCGGCTAAAGCCGGACGTCCCCACAGACGCGCGGACGCAGTCGGAGGTTCGAGCGTCACCCGCCGTGGATGTACACACGCAGGCCTCTGAGAGCTTGCACGCCGACACAAGGACACACGCGGTAGCTCGAGCGCCAACGGACTCGTGGACGCTCCAAGAGAAATGGACTCGCAGCGCGGACTCCTGGTCGTCCGTGGATCCGCAGATGCACCCGCCGCCAGACACCGGGAGGCAAGGAATGTACATGCAGCAATACGCGCCCCAGCATCTCCCACCTCCTCCTCACCTCCCCCACATGCTTCCCCCTTCGTTCCCCCATCTCCTGCCACACTCCCATCTTCCTCACAGACCTCCACTCCTCCCCCCGAGTCCCACTCACCCCACGCAGCCCCAAACCTTGAACTCTTACCTCGGTCAGAAGGCCCCGCCCCACTCGGTTCACATAAGCCAGCTTCACCTGCATCCGCCGCACCAACCCAACATCACCACGCAGTCTCAGCCGTATTACCAGCCTCCACTTATGGCCTGCCCGTCTCAACCCAACACTCCCCTCAGCAGCTCCCAGTCTCTCCCTCCTCACCTCTCCCACCATCATCAGTACATCACCCCGCACGCCAAAACCTTCTTCCCCCCTCAGCATCCCCACTTCCCCTCTCACCACTTCCTGCCGCCTCAGTCTTTCCTCCCTCAACCACCCAGCTCGTACCCGCTACAGCCGCAATACCAAACCCCGGCACCACCTTTCCCTCATCCACCTCCTCCTCCTTCTTCCTCTCCGCCTCCCCCTCCGCCTTCTCTTCCCCCTCCTCGTCCCCCTCAGCCTTCCCCTTCTGTCCTCTCCCCACCTGCAAAGCATGAAGAGGAGCAGAAACAGATTTTATAGTAGTTTTTGTACATAAGGATGCTGTTTTTAAAATTACTGTACATGTACAAGGTTTTATTTTGGTTGTGTTGTTGTAAAACGATGTAAAAAGGAAAAAAGGAGGAAGAAGGTGGAGTGTATCGGTTTGAACACAGTATCATAGTCTATAAAGCAGAGTTGGACTGTATTTACCCCAGACCTCTTGACTGGATTGGTTTAGATTGTACTGATGCTTTTGGTTGTGCTTAGGTTCAAAACTATTGAGAATTGATTGCATTTATTGGTAGGGTTTTATTTTTCTTTCCAGTTTTAACGTTTGAAGAAGATATTATTCAGGCTCACGGTTTGCTCCTAGTCTGAGAAAACTGCTGTCTGGTTCTGTTTTTTGAAGTGAGCATAACCCTCAAATATCAGAATATCCGTGAGCCATCAGAGGTAGGAAGACTTTGTGTCAGATATTTATATAAAAAAAAGGTCACGATGACCTTTTTGTGAAACTTGCAGCTAATGCTTCCATTTTTGTGGCTTTTTTCTAGTGTATTCTTTGTGCCCAAGACTGTTTCTGGAATAATGATGGGTCAAATCGTGATATTATACAGTACTCTATTGTATTGATGTAATATCACTACATTTCCTCTACTATATTGCATCGATACATCTTAATATACAGTACATTGCAGTACTTTTCCCAATATTGTATTTTGAGCAATAATGCTCCGCAATAATCTGCTGAATTTAAATATAACTGCATTTCCCCATTATTGATGTGGTGACAACAAGTACCAGTATTTTATTCTGATTTCAAAGCTATTGATAAAAAGCCACTTCACTGAGGAGTCGACATGAGGAGTGCTTAAATATAATTTACATTTATCTTAAGTGATTGTTCCAAGAATATTAGTGCAGTTTTTAGTGCTACTAAACAAAAGAAACCCCAATTTTCACTTTAAACCACTTTAGTAATATAGCTACAGTATACCGTAAAGAAATAGCTTGACATTTTGGGAAATGTGTTTATTTGTGGTCTTAGATGTCCAGGTGGTAAAGTATGAAGCTGGAGCCAGTAGCTGCTTAGCTTAGCTTAGCTTAGCATAAAGACTGGAAACACTGAAATCTTTGTGACCAACCGAGACTGGCCAAGAAATAGTCCGGCACATAACCTTCTGTAAAACCTATAATGAGTGGTGTTTAGACTTTTCTATGGGATAAACAACAGACATACAACCTGTCTATTAGTGAACTTTAGAGGTGCTGCTGGCCAGATTTTCCCACCCTGGGGTCAGAGCCAGACTCGCTAACAACAGCTTCATATTTACCACACAGCTATCTAACAACTATCTAACTCTGACATTGAGGGAAATAGGTCAACTATTTCTTTACGGTATTGCAGTTATCTTGTACCTGTAGCCCTTAACACCAGTGGCAGAGCTCTTAGTGTAATTTTGCTGTGTTTTTCAGTGTCTGTTGGATGTGTACCAAGGTCTCCTGATTTTGGAAACCGAGCACTTGCTGGTTAGCCAAGGAAGAATTCGACCCAGCCAAGGCTGCTACACAAAGTCTCAGGAAAAAACAAAAAAACATTCAGGACACATCCACCAATATATTGGTCTCCTAAAAACAATTTAAAAAATCGTATGTCTTAGTTACCTTTTACATAATTGTTCAGGGTCACTGAAATACCTTTCAACGTTATATTAGTACCTATGCAGCTACATTAAGAGCTCGCCATGAGTTAACTTTAGACCTCACAGCATCTGGATAGGAACAGGATGAGCAGAGCAATATCATACAGATGCAGTAGGTCAGGACTTCCAAAATGTGACTCATTATTACAGCACTTTGTAACACGGATATATATCAACAACTGTTTAAATCCATCTGATATTCCTTAAAAGACTTTGGGTCATGAATCCCAGATTATGTCCGATTATCAACAGGACAATTTCAGGTTCTTCCAAGACTATTGCGTTAATCATTCAGGCCTCAGCACTTCTATAATACAATAGTTTTTTATTCTTTATTCTGCTCCAAGACAAACAGAAGATACTCTGTCCAGAGTTCATTCCCAAAGCACTATTTATCTATTTACCTGAAGTCCAGTTTCTCTACAGTGTGGAGCATCCTGTTTTATTGAAATGTTTTATTTATCAACCAGGGACTGGAGTGACCTCTTGTGTTTTAGAAAGTACAATAAATTATTAACTATGAAGAGTATATGTTTCTCCAAAATGGTGAAGATCTGATTTTAGAGTCGAACTTCTGTCTCAGTGCTCGTCCCACAGTTGTGGAACTTTGATGTTGAGAAAAACTTGATTTCTTTCTTTTCTTTTTTCTTTTTTTTTTGGTCATTGATGTCTTGATTTTTATGATCAATATTGGAGTACAGCCCACTTGCTAATGTAGCCCACAATGTTTCCCCAGTGCCTGTCCTTAACTGTGAACTACTAAATGGTCCGGAGCCACGTAGAGAAAGAGTTCTGTCCTTTCATGGGAGTTTTTAGGAGTGCCAGTTTAACATTTTTTTTACTGGAAAATAAGAGTAACCTTAAGAGAGCCTTAAATTGGTATCTAAAGCCGCTGAAAACTCTCCAAATATCTGTGGCGTGAGTTGGGATGAGTCAAAAATTTTGTGGCTCAGTGGGACAATGGCCCTAAAAGCAGGGTTGTGTTTTTTTGTGATTAGTCTCACCGCCAGCCTGGAAATTCTCTGAAAATTAAACATAAACTCTCTTCAGGACTTCGTTTCAGAGGCAGAACTCTTCACTTCGTGGCTTTGGGGAGAGCGAGGTGATAATTAAGCACTTGATGCCAGTTGCAAGGCGCTCTGCAGCTCTTTTTATGCTTTTGGGTTTCAGACGTTACAAAAAAACTGACAGGAACTTATATATTTTTTGTACAAATGTGACAAAATTATGGTTGAAAACAAAACGAGTCTTTAGGGGCTAGTGTTGTTTTCACAGAGTTTATTTATCTCAAGGTTTTGGGTTGGTTTTTTTTTTTTTTTTTTTCTATTTTGTTTCTGTGATTTTTAACTGTCAGCACTGTAGTGTACATAAGAAGTTTTGTAAAGAGGAAAAAACTTGTAGTGTGGTTTCTACTTTAAATATGAACCTAGCTAATAAAAGGTTCAGTGTATGGAAAATGTTGGGGTAAGAATTGATTATTTTTTGGTGGTTAAAAACTTGGATGAGGAAATTGTTCATATGTATTCTCAGAATCTGGAGTGGAAACCGAGTCAGCTGTCTGAGGTTTAAAGACGCCCTGTGGAGCTTTAAAGCTTGGCGGACCTGAGGGGATCTTATCAAGTGATAATTCTCGGTGGGTTCGTGACTACAAATAACTCCTTTCACATACCAGTAGTCATGTGATCTGTTGTGAATGTAAAATATTGATTATAGCTGCGTTAAGGTGTGAAAGTGTGCCATTTTAATACTAGAAGTTGGGTACCTGGCATTCACCACTTTGCTGCCAAACCGGGCAGCAACTGAATTATCTCTATCTGTACTCAGGGTGGGCGTGGCCTAAACCAGGGAGTGGGCGGGGCTAACTGGAAATTATTCATTTAAGCTAATACAGGTTGATCAGAAATGGCTATATCTTTATATCTAACCTATATCTAACTAGCACCTTACAACACTTAAAAACTGTATCTCCATGTTGGGACGTGTGGTTGGTTAAAGACCAAACTTTACCACCACCTTTGTCTAATGTATACCTGCCTTTGTTTTTGTATTTCTGTTATACAAGCCACCCACTCACTGCAGTCAGCGGCAATGAGCTCAGCACTTTTACCGGGGCGAGATTTGAGGAGACAACTCATACACACCACAATGCAGCAGCCCCATAATTCAGGGCTGGTGTGTGTCAGGTCAAATCCAACTCAAAACAGCCCTTTTTTCCTCTTTCCATCCTTTCGTGCACTCTCACACACAGCAGGCATGCCAGAGGAGCTCAGCTGACCTTTACAGTGAGTGGGAGTGCGGCAGGAAGTTGGAGCAGAGACAAAGAGCGGATTTTGGAGGGAATACTTGGGAAAAAAACCCTCATTGAACCATGTTAGTGCAGCGTTCACACAGACTGCATTGAGCATACACTACTCAGTCGTGAGGTCAAAACTACCTCGGTCCAAATTCTCTAGAAACACCACTCACCATAAGTTATTTTGTGAAATAAATGTGGTTTTCCTACTTTGCAGGATGATTACTGTTCCTTCTCATATTACCAGTGGTGGAAGAAGAATTCACTTAAGCAAAAGTACCACTAGAATAATGTAAAAATACTCCTGCATACTGAAATATTATCAGCAAAATGTAAAGTAGAAAAACTAAAAGTACTTGCAAGAGATGTCCTCTGTGACTGACATTATATATTACAGTATTTACATTGTTAGTACTGATGCATCAGTGTCTACTTTAAGTAGCATTTTGGAGCTAGTTTTACTACTTTATATACAATTAGATTGTTTAATCCATGGGTTCCCAACATAGGGGTCATGTCCCCTCCAAAGGGACGAAAGATGCATGTGAGGGGTCATGAGAAAATGATTGGAGTAGCAGAGACGGAGTTCTGTTAAACAAGTTTGTATTCATTTTTCTTTTACTTTTCTCTAATCTTTGCTCTTTTTGTGAATTATTGGAGAATTTTACCTTTTTCATAGACATTTGAAGTACAACAAACGGCTCCAACTAGACGCGTTTGTTAGGGGTCACAAATCCTTTGCAATGCATTGTGTTTTATAATCATATAATGTGTTAATGTAACATATTCAGTACAAGTACTTTAAATTTTATTTTGCTTGAGTAAATAGTTATCTACATCAGTGCATTTAACTAGGTATTGTGGGATGAGAGCAGGCGGATCTAAGTTTTCAACAAAAGCAGCTAGAATAGCATAGCATACGTGCAGTGATTACAAGCTCCACCAGCCATAGCACATTAAGCACACTATGGTTATGTTCACACTGCAGGCAAAGGTGGCCCAAATCTGATTTTTTTTTCCTTCATGGCAGTATAAACAGCACAAATCACACAGAATCTGATCTTTCATATGTGATCCAAATCAGATACAGGTGCAACCTCAGTGTGAATTCATGTGACTTTTTACGTCACTCTAGATCTGCATTCGTCATGCGACTCACTTCAGGAGTGTTCACATTTGAATCTGATATGGGCCACGTTTAAAAAACAGTGCTCAAGCTTGCAGTGTAAACACACGCTGCAAGCTTCAGCTCATACAGTATTACTCATCTGTCTTTCTGATGATGGCCAGTGTTAAGGGTGTGGCGTCTGATTCGAGCTGTTTCCATTTTGGAAACTGGCTTCAGGCTGCACGAAGCCCTCTGGAAATGTGTCCCGTACTGTGCGTTTGTAAATAATTTCCAGCCATACTTTCAGTTCCTCTAGTGTCAAGACAACTGGAGCTCTGTGGACATACAGATTGGCAACTGGAAACATTGATCTCATCCAGTTAAATATATGAACATATGATACTACAATATTTTAAGACTAATGTAGACAGAAAAGACAAAGACTTCAGTGTCTGTTAGAGGAGCTGAAGTGTCCCTAGAAGGGCAGAGTGTACACACACACACAGCCATTGGCTCTGTGGTTGCTTCACAGTTCCTATCAGGTCACGTCCCAGCAGGAGTTTCCCCCTAACCACAATACTTTGTTTTGCATAGTCTGTAACTAATGTGATCCTTCTGAGCATGGAAGCACTTGAATATGAAGTTGTTTCATTACCACTTCTACAACTATTTTACTATCATTGTGACTATTTGAGACAAATACAGACAGGTTAAAGTATGGAAGTACTATTTATTTTTTTATTTTACAAGACATGCATTAATTATCAAATACTTTCAATCTCAAAACAGCCATTCCTTTTCATTTTCAACATAGTGCAAAACAATGCAAAGAATGTATTTGAAATACTAATGGACAATCGAATGGCACAAAACAAATGTCAGTCACGCACAGTGTCAGTTGTACCGTAAGGTTGGAATATGACGAAATTAACACTAAAAACTGCTGGTAGAAAGCACTCAAAGTTTACACCCTAAACTTAATTTAGATTCTCCGCATTAATCTGAATGTTAATCACTTTGGTCACCAAGTATGATACATGTCAAGGGTTTTGTTTTTTTCCCCCGAAGCGAACTTGGACCTTTGTACCTAATAACAGCTTGCTCATTTTCATGGGGCACATGATGATTTACATGGTACAAAAGAGACCTTGTACAGAGCGGGAGGGGCGGTAGCTTGTATAAAAAAAATAAACATCACAAGACGTTTCCAAGATGCTTTTACGTCCCGAGCAATTTCTTAAATGATCTTTTAAGTTATTGACTCCTTAGGCGCTTGCAGCCAATACCGAGCTGTTGTCACGAACACCTTCTGAAGTTAATTCATAACTTGTGAAATAATATTTGGCCAGATACTCTCCACAGCTCAGGAATGAAAAGAAAAAAGTGCCACAAAATATCTAAAGCATATGTAGAAAACAACACACTCCATGATTCTGGTACCAAGAGTGCTAGTTAATTAGTTACGCAGCTTAAATAAAGGAAGTGGAGTCAAAATTCACTAAATACCATTCAGCTCCCCAAGTTCATTTACAAGAGCAGTTGTCCTGGCTTATACGCACTGAAAATAAACAATACTGAGCATTGTGAGACCAGAACAAAAGCAAACATTAGAGGACGTTAATGTTTCTTCCAGTGTAGGCTTCACAGTAGATTTATATATATATATATATATACACACAGTTGATCCCCTTATGGCATTTTTTTGTCTTTGTAAAGAAGAGCAATCTTAGAGCAATTTTGATCATTTTTAAACAAATGGATTGCGACCGATCCAATAGCAGCTCTTCAGTTGCACAGACAGCAGAGTCCCTGCCCTGTCGAAGCCCTTGCAGCATACTCCACTGACGTCTGAGCACACTATATTTTTTATTTTTACACAGTCTCTTATTCTTAAGATGAATACCAACGTCTGAGAGAATGATTTGATTACTGCTTGAGCCTCAGCCGTCTCTGGAAACATAATCAGGCCAACACAAAAAGCTCAAATTTCACAAAGTCATGGTCAACCAAACACAAAACTATTCTCAATATGTACCAATGATTCATGTTGAGGTTTGAACCAGACGTTTGAATCCCTCTCAGGCCTCTCTCCTCTCAGGAAAGATATTCAGCCCCAGCTCCACCAGCGCCCCCAGTAACATGGTCCACAGTGGTATGCACACAAACGTCAGCTTCACGTCCGCCAGCTTCTGCAGCTTGGCGCACAGCGTCAGGCAGAAGCCCAGCTTGAGCAGCATGGCCGTCAGGTACCAGGCGCGCAGACGCAGGTCCGGGGAGCCGTTGCGAGGGTCGTAGCCAGGCTTGCACCGGCCTGCCATCTTGATGACAAGCATGAGGATGAGGATGCCGTCAAACACCCAGACGGGGAGGAAGATGAGGAACCAGTTCCACTGCACCTGGAGGAGGGGGGAGACAAGATTATATCAGTTGTGTAATTGAGGTTTTTATTTCCATCAGTGTTAGAGCTGCACGATATGATAAAAACATCATATTGTGATTATTTTGACAGATATTGTGCATGTGATATGATGTGAGATTGGTGTGGGAATGATCACAAATTAAAGATTAAAACTCATGATGATGTGAGATTTTTGGGGGCCTGTACCAAACAAGCATGTTTTCTTAAATCTGAAGAACAAGGTTTATAGGTCAGGGCATCTCTGCAGCACAACAGCAGTAACATTATAGAGCTACTTTGTCACACACTGCAGCTCTTGCGATTTGCATATTGCAATTGTTTCGATTAATTGTGCAGTCCTCATCAGTGTGATGGGTCATTTCATATACAAATGAAACACACTAAGATTGTACAGTCCATTGACAGTTATGATTGACTTATGTTACAAACTACTACAATAAAGGGTGAAGAAATACTTCTACCCTGCGAATCTCAATGCACAGGAGCTGAGAGAAAACAAAACCCCCCTTTACCTTCCCGTCCAGTTTGAGTACTAGCATGATGAGGAAGACCAGGGTGAAGACCCAGGTCAACAAAACCCTCTGAGCCAGAGACATCTCACTGACTGTGGACACAGATCAGAGGAGGACAGACGCTGGACAGAAGAAAACAGAAGACACAATCAGACATTTCTACCTCATTATTAGGATTGTGTGGGTTTTTGAATATTTTGGCAAGAAATCAGACATATAAGAACAGACAGCAACGTTAAAATAAGTGCTAAAGGCTTCTTAAAACGTGGCATCGTCGATACAAACAACACATCACTGACACCAGCTGGAATTATCATTTTGTTTTCATTCATCGTTAGTTAATAGCGAGGTAGCATCGAGCTAACAGGTTGCTAATTCATTTAAAACAGAGTCCGACTTACTTCACTGTGTTTCTAGACCGGTGGCCGACATGTTCGTCTCCCCTTATGGCGTACACCCAAACGCATAACGTTTACCTATCATAATTCACACGGTTATCAACAGACGCGTCCGTGAACAGCAACAGACAGAGAGGGGTCCGTGATCTCTGTTTGGCCCCGCCCCCCTGCTGGAAGCCGATTGGTCCTCACGTCGCTACGTCACCTTTCTTTAACGTCCATCATCCCGGAGCCTAACCGTAAAGTTTGTTGCAAACGCGCAATCTCGTTGTAGTGAGTTTTAACGTCCACTAGGGGTGAGTAAAGTTCTTTTCATTACTCCCGCCGGTTGCGTTTATATGTTTATTTACCGCGCAGCTACTTAAAACCGCGACATTGCGCTGTTTTATTTATTAGTTTTTATGCTAATGAATTCATCGGAGCGACGTGTGAGCCCCCCTCCCTCCTCTTTCCCATTTGGCTTCACCAACCGCCGTCAACGTTTATTGGCTTAAAAACGTAAGTTGCGCGTTTACACGGCGCTTTACGGGCTGAAGTTGTATTTTTTCACAGCGAGAGGCAGAAAAAGGAAAAGCGACGGCTTCAAACATCGCCGAGCAGACTCTCAGCATCTCTCCCAGACGCTGGACAACGTTGGCTCGGCTCCTTGCGGCATAAAATCACGTTGTTGGGTTTTTTTTTTTTTTTTTTAAAGCAAAAGGTTTTGGGTCAACGTAAGCTCGTGGGGGGGGGACTCGGACCAGCCGTCGCCGTCAAGGAGGTAAGACCGAGCGGATGCATGGCATGTTTGCACAGCGGTTATCAGGATTTTAGTATTAGGGTCAGCTGTGTGGGCTCTTTGTGCCTGCCGGGTAGCTAACTGTGTAGCATGATATGAGCTAGGAGGAGGAGGAGGAGGAGGAGGAGGGACAGGCTGTGTGGAGTGAACCATGAAGACGGTCTGAAAACACACCGTGGCTGCATCTACATGGAGGCTAGCTGCGAGATTAGCTGTGTTTTAATAGATTTACGGCGCTGCACTGTATGGAGTGAAAACACACATTGTAACGTGAACTATATAGGATTTAGCTTCACGACTGTAACGTTATTGATGAACCTAAAACCCCCCTGACCCACCATAGTACTGCATTACTTCATTTGACTGCCTTTTACTTGTTTTATTCAAACACTTTTAACCATCCCACAAAGCATTATTACCATTGTAGGACCCCCACAGAGCATTGTGTGTGTGTGTGTGTGTGTATATATATATAATGGATGTGGACCAACTCACCTGAAATTATTTTAAAAAATAATTACTACAATTTAAAAAAAAAAAAAAAAAACAATCTTCATATAAAAGAGGCAGTGTTGAATTTTGTTTAGCACTAACTCTGTTGGAACAAGCACCATGGCTTTAAACATTTCCTAGGTTTTTTCTTCATCTGAAGTGTCTGTCCTTAAACTAATGGCAAACACTGCATGAGCTGGAAGATGTCTTTTTTTTTTTTTTTTTTAGTCTTCCCCACAGACCTGTGTTAGGATCCACCACTACTAAACCATTAACTGGGTCGGGGGTGGAGCCGATTATTTGCTCAGTTATTCGTTTCATGTGTTAAATGTCAGGAAATGTGAGAAAATGGCCATCACAATTTCACAGAGCCGAAGGTGACGCCTTTTAAATTGCTTCTTTTGCGCAACCACACTCCAAAATCCCAAGTTTAGAGTCATCTGACTTAATAAAAACAATAAATTATGGCATTTTAGAGGCTGGAAGCAGTTCAATTCTGGTCATTTAAACTAATCAACTCCTTCTACTGTAATCTGTACACTCCTCTCCACTCCCCTCTCTGAATTTACATCAGTCTCTCATTCTCATTTGTATGTCATTCTCTAACCGGTGTTGGTTTTCTCGATCTATCTTATGTCACTGGAGTAGAAACTGTGGCAGGCTTCGGCAGGCGGTCAGGCTCACAGTTTGGCAGGCCGTCTGATTATCCAACATGGTTTTGCGATCCAGACAGCCTGTCGGTTCCAGTGTCTGACTAACGCTGTCATCACTCACCCAGATTTTCCACTGCAATCATAATGTGACCCCTTAATTAACCTTCCTCACCACCGAGTCCTGTACGAATCCATAACGTGAACCAACAGCCGGGACAGTCAAATAAACCCTTTTTTAAAAGCTTAACATCTTTATAGTTGTTCTGTTAACCTGTAGTTTGGACATGAAATATGGATTTATTGTAAGTCAGAATATCAGTGAAGGCTAAAGAAGGGGAACAGATAAGACTATATTTGAGTAGTAAATCTTGTTATAAAACAACAACAACGACCTGGTATAAACCACCAACTGCAGTATCGTCTGTTGTTGCTGCTGCTAGACACGACTGTGTTCGGACTGCAGCCAATAATTTACTGTGTTGTTTTCACCTGCAGGCAGTCAGGTATGCAGGTAAGACATGTATGGCAGCATTTTATTTTAATATTTCAGGAAGCGCTTCTGTAAATCAAATGCGTGGGATATCATGTAACAATGCTGGAAACCTCTAATTTGATTTAGGCAAATGTCTTTGTGAATGCTTTCCTTCTCAGACAGTTTGACGATCCTAACAGCAGTTTCACACTTCAGCTAAACCCGTTTATGACAACAAAATATTGTCCAGTGAGATCAGAGATGGGTTTCAGTAAAGTATAAGGAGCCTCATTGAGCCTGTTTATGCAAGTCATGAAAAAATGACAGGAAGCTGCAGTTGCAAGAGCAAAAGTTTGCAAACAGGTATTGTGTTTAGTTGTTGACAGCCGGTTGATGAGTGAGGATCAATCACTGTTGCTGCGTGCGTGTGAGTGCTGACAGGACCGGTGTTGCCTTTCACCCCGCTAGCGTCTTAGAGACCTGGGATCCCCTGGGGGGGCTTCTGAGACACCTGCATGCACACACACGTTATGGATGGGGAGTACGCAGCGTGCGAGCCTTTGAGACACTGATTGATTGAGCATCTGTTGGGCCGGTACTACTTGTCAGTCAATGTAGCTGTGGAGCATTTCTGCAGCATTCATGAACCCGAGGTCAGTCAGTCAGAGTGTGTGTGTGTGTGTGTGTGTGTGTGTGTGTGTGTGTGTGTGTGTGTGTGTGTGTGTGTGTGTGTGTGTGTGTGTGTGTGTGTGTTTTATTTGCATATACATGCATTTGAACAAAGTGATTTGTAGTGGTTGACTGACTACTTGATTGAGTGTCTCAATGTGTGTGATTGTAGCATCCACAGATCCAGACTGCTGCCTATTGTCTAACCAGCGTGTGCCTTTTTTGTTCGTTCGTTCTCTCTTTCTCTCCTCTTACTTCTTGTCCCTCTCTCTGGCTTTCTCTCCGTCCGTCTGTCTGTCTCTTTTGAGGAGCACTCATACGATGCTCTGTGTATTGTGCGGCTCGAATCTGCCCGCAGAGCTGGTTACATCATCAGCTGCAATGTAGTTACATCACGCACTAGACTGCCATATCATCCTCTGTTGGAGCTGCAGAACGGCCCGTCGGGGCAGTGATATGATTCGTAGCCATGTAGCCGTTGCCGTTATTGAGTGCGAGCAGAAAAGGTCAGAGGGAAAGGTCAAGTGCGAGAGAGAGAGAAGTGCCACATTACGAGCTCTACTGTGCTGCGGTGGAATGGTGTGTTAACGATGGCGTTGAAGTCTATGAAATCCCGTGTTACAGACAGGATCTACAGCAGGGGCAGTTTGACTGTGGAGCTGTATGTGTTGTGTTGTTGATCCCAAATGTCTGTGTTATCCTTTGGACACAGAACACATTTTAACATGTCTCAGTAGGAAAAAAGCACATATTTAATTTAGCTGTTTCACTGTCGGGGTGCTCATATTGTGCACGCTCGCAGTCATGACTTACCAGGACATTTTCATACAACAGAGTCATCGTGAATGTTGTAACACCTGTGCTTTTCCTCGTATGACAAGTAAAAATGTCCGCTGTAAAGAAAGACCTACTGATGCGCATTTTTGTAGAATGACTTATCGCAGGTGGAGATGTGAAGTCAACCTTTTTTAGACATCTCTTTTCATAATGCATTCGTTGTGCAGTTGTACCATCGATGGCTGATCCTGCCGATTTTTACTCTACTCAGGGCCTTATTAATTTAGTGTCTTTAAATGTTTAATTCCAATGTTTAAAATTACATTGCATCATGTCTATTTTTGGAATTGCTCCACATTATCAGAGCGAATATAATCCTATTCCACTGCACTTCTTAAACTTTCCATTGCTCTCCACGGTTCAGTCTCCAACTAGACTTCCAGTCCTTACACCGTTTCAGCTGCTATAAACTTCCGTCTGACAGAAACCTCTCTATTATTGCTACTTCTGTCAGGGAGGGATGTTGGTTTCAGTGAAACCGACTACAAAACCTCCCCACAGAAGCACATCTGGATTCCCAACCACTTGCAACCTGCACTTGAGGTTGTGTTATGATGAGTCGGCCTCTTTCTTTCACTTAAGAATGTCCTCGCATGAGTCCATCTGGTTGTGATGCTAGTCATCCCTTTTAGCTTGGCTAATGGTAGTGGGTTTGTTTTAATAGGGTTTATCTGTCAGCTGTCACTTTGGTACATTGACATTGACTTTCCAGTTTTACTGAACATATGACTGTTTTATGATTCCTGTGCTGCCTTACTCCTACGTCTCTTGCTAAAGGCTTCTTTTAGTGCCTGAGGGTGAGAGTTATGGTTAGATGCATATATTGGAAGCATTGTTTCTTTAGTTAATTCTGGTAAATCCTCCAAGCGTAAAACATTGGTGTGTGTGTGTGTGTGTGTGTGTGTGAAGCTCAGCAAGAGACACATGCTGCTTTTAAACCTAATCATGTGGACACCAGCCAAAGCCCAATTCCACAGAATACACACACACTAGAAACTCCTGTTTACACAGAAATTAGATTAAGTTATTATTAGACTTTGAGTGACTGGCTCCACTTGCATGCAAGAGTCTCAGACACACACACACATACACACACTGCTGTTGTTGCTTTGAATCTCAAATGCGATCGTCCCAGTCTTGACCGTCTCTCTTTGTTTTTCCAGCTCCTGACCTAATTTGGCCGTGAGGACGAAACACCAGTCAGCTACAGGGCCTGACTAGAGGTGAGTTCTCTCTTTGTGTGTGTGTGCGTGTGTGCGTGCGCGTGTGTTTACTAGG